TTATTTGTTGTATGACGGCTGTCTATAAATAATCAAGTGTGGACCAGACAAACCAGTGATCAACAGCATGACCATTGATCTAAAGAATAAGTGAGTATGGTTTTACGCCGCTCTTAGCAATATCACGACTGAGGACGCAAGAAATGGGTTTCACACATTGGGACCATGAAGGGAATCAAACCTGGGACGAGCAATTTTTCGGCAATATGGCGGCAGTCTGTAAATACTCTGGTCAGAACCAGACAATCCAATGATTAACATCATGAGCATTGATTTACGCAAATGGGATACGATGACATGTGTCAACCAAGTCAGTAGGGCTGGCTAAAATGATCGATAATTGGAAATATTGTAGGTAGGAAATATTATTAATGAATTAATCGATATGCAAACTGTCATCGAAAATATGATACATTAGGTTTTGTGACAGAATTTTTTTGTCTCCCAATATAAAGATTTTGGAGGTTATTCAAGGTCTGCTTCTGAAATTTGTTCAGGACGCTCTTTTCTCTAAGACATTTGGCGCATTTTTGATCAAAGTTACGTCTTCGACATTTAGTTAACGATCATCGATCGCTATGATCTATATCGATAGCTAGCCCAAGTAGTCAGCGAGCCTGACCACCCGATCCCTTTAATCGCCTCTTGAAAGTAAGTCAATGATGCTACCAGGCGTACGTAAATAATGACGTGAACGACATAGATATAATTTGACACGGAATCACCACATCTTAATTTTTATGCAGGATTATATCGTTACATCCTTCAGGGATCCTCTCCATAAAACATAAGTAGTATTACGCCATTCGTAAGCCCATGATAAAAAAGTATAGCCTTACGAATGTTCGTAACGTTACGAACGCTTTGTGGATCGGGACCCTGAGACTTAATTTTCTATCATACTCACGACAGCAGTCCCCTCTACTCGTGACCTTGACCTTCGTCACCATGACCATGCCTTGCAAATCGACTTGCCACCAGGGGTCTTTTTCATCAAGGGCAAGGCAACTTCCGCTGCTCCACGATGTCGAATCTGGACGTCCATCATTTACCAAACTACCTGCACTGGCTCCTCCACTCGAAGCGTTTGATGGCTTGTTTTCAGCTAAGTAAATCTCTGGGGAACAAACAAAATGGACAGGAAATTCCAAGAGATGCTATGTAGCTGAAATACATTTCACCATAGAAATACCCCTTATAAGGAGAGAGAGTTCCTGGAGATGACGTTTGGCTGACAGCCATGGAAGTTCTCTGACCATGAACATACTCCTTATAAGGAAGGGATATTCCTGGAGATGCTATTTGGCTGACAACCATGAAAGTTCTCGGACCATGAAAATACTCCTTATAAGGAGGGGATATTCCTGGAGATACTATTTTCCTGACAACATGAAAGTTCTCGGACAATGAAAATACCGCTCATAAGGAGAGGCTATTCCTGGAGATGATATTTCCCTGACAACCAGGAAGGTTCTCGGACCATACAGATTAGGGGTGAGTATCCAGCCCCTCCAACGGTAATGACATAAAACGTCAATGCCAGTGACGTCTTCTTTACCTACGAAATATTTTTCACCAGACGTCAAAGGCAAAATAGTGGCATTTATATGAATGGATCACTGAAATTCAGCAAAGACGTCATATGGCACTATAAGTCATGACTGCTTTGTGTTTGGCGTCAATACTTTAATGATAATTCGAACTAAAACGATCGTTGACAATACCATGTATTCGGACCACTTTCTATTGTTTGTTTGCTTGTTTGTGATTTAACGTTGCCTTCAGCAATATTAAAGCTATATGGCAGTGGTCTCTACATAATCAATCTGGACCAGACAATCCAGTTATCAACATCATGAGCATCGATCTACGCAACTGGGAGACGATGACGTTGACCATTTTCTAACCTTGCATTGGTTATTCGCTGCTCCTGCCAAAGGAGTCATGCTAATTTGCACTTTGAGGGAGTTTTGGAAACCGCGGTGGCAAAGTGGGTCTGATCGTGTTCTATACACAAAGAACTTAGTTAAGCACCCCCTGGCATATCTCACGATTGCATGAACCCTGATCGTCACCCTTTGGAGCATATCTGGGACAGGATTGGCCTGACAGGGGGTATGAGGAGGAGTGTGCTGGCTGTCATACAGTCACATGGAGGTTACACCCGGTATTGACCTTGAATGATGTAAGACACGCAAAATGACGTTTTGAATGTTCATATTCACCAATAAATTCAACATTAAACATTCCAGGTACTTACTTGTACAGACATGGTTTTGTATGAAAATAGATGTGTTTTTGTTTGTTTTTTAAATGAGCAATTATTATCATAAAATCAACATGGATTCCAATAATTTTGTCATTTTTATGCGTCAATGGATCATACGGGTTTAAAAACCACGAGAAGTTTTATGTACGTGTTGAAAACCTACCATTGCAAAAATACATGGGGCGCTTAATTAAGTTACAGCACGTAAGCGATTTCCAAGGATGTAGACGTACCTGCTTCAGCATTGTAAATATGGAACACAATCACACATTAACCCGTGAACACTCTGGATGCCATTTCACTCTGGGCTTCTTCTCTTGGTCAAGGAAAGTATTTGGCACAGCGAGCACCTGCTGTAACCTGGATGCGCCTTCTGAAACGCGTCATTCCTTTACTCCAGTTTACTAACCACCCACGTTCCACTATATCTATTTAATTTACACTTGCAATAAGACCCATTGGTCAATAATGCAATCTAACTATCGGCTTGCTATGTACAACTATCAACTATCGGGCTTGGCAACACACAATCATTTACTGTTTATATAAAAATTATGTAAAAAAAGGTGCTGCCAGTTTGGTAGAATATCCATCATATCGATGTCATTGTTGCTTCTGAATGATCTTTGTATATGATTTCACTCATGTTCTCTGTTTAAAGCAGATGATCGAACATGATGAATGGAAATAGAAAAGCACGTTAAAAATGCTGTTTGTAGTTACATGCACCTGTATGGCGCCGGACTTCAACCAGTCGACTAAAAACCATTAATCGAAACTTCAGGTTATTATTTACTTGTAGTCTTTCGAGATATTTGAAGTATATTTTCAAAAAGGGAGAAATTCCGATTTCTTTGCAGTTCTAAATACGTCACAGTCATTGAATAAGCTGTCTCTGATGTCTGGCGCAATTGATTCCATTGTACCAAACTGAACGAGAAACCGTTTTGGTGGATATTCAGGAATAAGATAACTTCTAAGGTTTTTGCGGTGAAGTGGTTGTAACGGTGAAGTGGTTGTATCCGGCTATCATCTTCGTACGATATGTAATTTCCAAACGCTTCAATAACCAGTCAACGATTTCCAAACCCACCTGATTTCAGCCTTGGAAACTATACAATATATATACTCATGCCAATAATGGTTGTCACCCCTTCAATTTTTTTTATTGGAGAGGGTGTGTGGGGTGGGTGTGTGTGTGGGGTTGGGGTGGGCATGGGGGTGACAACCATTATTAGCATGAGTATATATGAAAAACAATCATCACCAGTTTAGCATGGAAACACATTTTGATGCAGGAACCATTCCATAATCTTTCCACAGAGTCTTTGTTATGGAAAATAAACTGGTATCAAGGTATGTATTATTACTGACGGGGTGTTAACACTGTGTGAAATGAAGGGCGTTTTACGAGGTGACAACGCCAAGTTCGTTTCTGGACGAATTCAACAATACAATGCCCATTGTATATTATGTATCATGTACAGAATAAAAAAATGTAAAATGATCTTGAAAAATAATCAGTTTTGATACCTCTTGTCTTATATGCCTGTTTGTGATAATTTCATAACGCCTTAATCAATAATACAATTGTCAGCAAAAAGGTATATATTTTCACAAATCAATGATTTATTCATAGCCAATGGGGTCATGGGTCAAAAGTAGTTCGTATGCAAAATAGCCAAATCTTAATGAGGTCAGGTCTGCTGTCTTGTCCCTGGTTTTCATTGGCTGACAATGTGCGATATTTTGATTGAATGTTGATGCATAAGGAAAGGGTAACGTTTTGTTCACTTGCTGTTTTTCTCCCAACCTGGCAAGGTGGCTAAAAGGTCATGGCAGGAGGATTTTGAATTGGTGAAATACAGGTTAGATACACATATTGTTTTATTTGCACATTTGTTTCAAAGTATAGGTCACATGTCACATGTAATCAATAATTTAGATTAACAATTGCATGTTTATAACACCTCCAAGAGAATATATGTATGTAAAGATGATAAGATCAGTGTCTATTCTGCTATGAACATACATGTATATTGGTCTACAGTCTTTCCTTATGTTCAATGTTAAATTTGGACTTTATCCAAAGCAAGCAATGCACTACTAGGTTAGATATACTTGGTTTTACAAACACTCTTAAAAAATATTGGGGACCCTGAACTTTCAGTTTGGATAGGAAGTATAAGCGTTAACAAACCTTTCAAAGACTGACATCTTGTGAACCCACCACCATTTCTCTTTATCACCACCCCTAAACACAACGTACAGGATGCACGTGCACAACGCAGAAGCCCAATACACGTGCATGGGGTGTCATTCTTGATTTTGACGGTTTTCAAGAAGGTCGATAAATCACTGTAGACCATTGTTAACACATTTGTTAGTGTTTGTTTCTAGACTTACTTTTTGTTTGAATTTGCAATGCGGAGTCTGCAACGTGATGAACGTTTACGTGCAATTGGCATGTTGCATACAGGCACTACCCAACGTGAAGTGGCAAATACTTTCAATGTTTCGAAGTCAGTCATTAGCAAACTTTGGAACAGATATCAGCAAACCAAAAATGTTGACGATCGACCCCGTTCAGGCCATCCGAAAATGTTGACGATACCAATCCACATACACAACCTGTATATATTAGTAAAATGTTTCAGGAAGTCACTGGCTTTCCCAGGTCCTCTCTATGCTACGAAACAGGTCCATCCAGTATTCAGAACTGATCCTGGAGTCCAGAATGAATGACTTCGCCTGCAAGAAAGGACTGGAAGCACTGCCTCCACCACGGATCCTACACACACATCTTCCTCTGCGCATGCTCCCCAAACAGATCGTGGAAAAGAAAATCAAATGTGTCCAGATTCTGCGCAATCCGAAGGATGTCTGTGTGTCGTTCTTCAACCACGCAAAGAGGGTTGCACCTCCTGATACATACCAAGGGGACTTTCAAGAATTTCTTCACCGACCAAAGTTAGTGGATGATGGGTTTCAGCTCTATAAAATTGTTCCTGTATTTCATTTTTTTCTGCTGTTCTGTATCTAAACTAGTGTCCAAAAGAAACGATACCACATGTTTCAAAGATCACCAAATTAAAACAAAACAACATAGACATTTCAAATTGATATCTTTCATTAGATAAATGATTGTACGGCATGTGTACAAAAAGTCATGGCAATCAAAGATTTACAATCATTAACACAGGGCTTTAAACGAAGTGTGGTGCCCAAAATTGAAATTTCATTTTAGCACAGTGGAGGAGGCAAGTGAGGGTAGTCTCTGAAAACAGTCTTAACGCCACTTTAGTACCGGGTATGCCCACCAGCAGCTGCGATACATGCCATGACACGCCTCCGAGCTGATGACGTCAAACGTCGGATGACGTTAGGGGTGATTCGGTGCCACTCATCCTGGAGACAATGTTCCAATTGTTGGAGGTTGGCTGGGGGCGCAGGGCGTTTTCTGATTTTCCGATTGAGGTGATCCGACATGTGCTCAATGGGATTCAAATCCGGTGAACACGCTGGCCATGGCAAAACCTGTATGTTGGCGTTGGCAAGGAAGTTCTGGGTCAATCTTGCCGTATGAGGCCTAGCGTTATCGTGCTGGAACACGATTCCTCCTGGATGCTGTTGGGCGAATGGCTGCACGACTGGTCGTAAAACCTCATCCTGGTAACGCTGTGCATTCAGGTTCCCCCGAATAATGATGAGCCTCGTTTTCACATCACCGCAGATACCTCCCCACACCATTATATCCCCGCCTCCAAATGCATGGACTTGCTGGATGCAGTTCGGCGCCAAACGTTCACGAACTCTTCGGTATACTCGCTGCCGACCATCGTTCTTGTAAAGGCAAAACCGGCTTTCGTCCGAAAACAAGACACGTGCCCAGTTTCGACGTTGCCACCGCCGAACACGCCTGGTCCATATCAATCGGTTGACTCTGTTTTGACGTGTCAGGTAGACTCCGCGGTAGGGGCGATGTGCTAGGATACCATGTGCCTGCAGTCTCCTGTAGACGGTTTGTCGACTGATCCGGTGTCCCAGTCCCGTCGCCGCCGTTAACGTCGCAGGAACGAAGCGGTTACGTAGGTGAAGTAACCGGATGTGGTTGTCTTGAATAGGCGTGGTCACCCGGGGTCTCCCGCTTCTCGGCCTGTCTGTTGATCGGGCTGTTTGACGCAACCGTCGCATTAACCTGGTAACGGTTATGCGCGCGCATCCAAACGTTCTTGCTACAGCGGCGTGTGATGCTCCCTGTCGGACCATTCCAACGGCTCTTTCTCTCTCGATCGCTGTTAAACGTGCCATTTCTTTTGTGTGCTTTTTACTGCTGTGGGCACAACGTGTCGGACCAGCGGTTTTATACAATTCATCTGCACGTGCATTTCGTGCTACACAACTTAACGTCATTTTGATTATTCGTGCTATTGCTTCTTAAGTGAATAAATGTTACCGGTTTTTTCGATCGAATACATTTGGTTAGGAACGTGGGATACACAGAAATATGTTTTTTCTCCAAAAAGTATCATTAATTTAAAAATATTGAAACAAATATTTGGTATCGTTTCTTTTGGACATGAGTTTAGTTGTATGTTTTAAGGCTACAGACATGCCAAATGCTCGCTAAACAAATATCTTAGGTGAAGGAATTTTCATCATACAGTGGTTATCCGCGAAGATTCGATATGAGTGAGTGAGTATGGTTTTACTCCGGTTTTAGCAATAATCCAGTAATCTCACGGTGGTGGACACCAGAAATGGGCTTCACACATTGTACCCATGTGGGGAATTGAACCCGGGTCTTCAACGTGACGAGCGAACGCCCTAACCACGAGGCTATCCCACTGCCCCAGATTCGATATGTCGTCAGTAACCTTCTCTTGACGACAGAGGCGACAAACGAGATCCGTCGGTGACGCTCGCGAACGGTGACTTGGTTGATCCAGGTTATCCCAGGTACACTGATGATGTGATGTCAGTCACTTGATAGTCGGGTCCAGACTTAATAATTTACACACAGCTGTCATAGCTATAATATTGTTGTGTTCCAGAACTAACAAAAGAGTGTCCTTCCTACAGCTTGTTACCATGGGGAATACTGATGAACAGCGCTATTGTTCTATTGTAAATGTTTCCAGTGCCATATGGGAGGTACGATGACTATTTGTTAAGCTGGAAGGCTGACGTGTCCAGGTTCCCAGACCTCCCACTTCTTTGTTTATTCTATGAGGACATGACAGTGGTTAGTATCTGTAGTAAATAAATTATTTCCACATAAATCGGTCGATTTCTCTACTTGACAGAATATATCGTTCATCGTTTCAAGACCCGTGAAGATCCGGGTTAGAATTGGTCTTCAGCAACCCTTGCTTGTTGTAAAAGGCGACTAACGGGATCGGGTGGTCAGGCTCACTGACTTGGTTGACACATATCATGTCAACCCAAATGTATAAATCGGTGCTCATGGTGTTGATCACTGGATTGTCTGGTCCAGACTCGATTATTTACAGACCACCGTCATATAGTTGGAATATTGCTGAGTGCAGTGTTTAACACCAAACCAACCAACCAAATCATCGCTTCCAGATAATACATCCCTGTTTTGTGTGAAAACAGCTTAAAAGAATGTGCAGAAGCAGACAACACATTTGAGGACATGTCATGTGTTAGCCCTTCAGTGTATAATCTAGACAAAGAGTTTTGTTCCCAAAGGATTAATGTTATTTATAAAGGCAGAACGAATGTTTACTGTACCGCATCTAGAAGTTTCGCCAAACACCAAATACACTGACGTACAAAAGAAAGTACACACCTGGTGTTTTTGGATTATTTGAAAAGTGTTGTGAATTTGACTGGCAACTTCGCTATTGGGCACGATATCTGTGGTGTTTTGGCAACATATTAGGAAAGTCTGTGACATATATCACTGTAAAAACACTTTTCAAAACTTTTACGTAGCTTTTATGAAAGTAATCCAAAAGCACCGAATGTGTCCTTTCTTTTGTACGTCAGATTAGTAATATTTCAGATAAATCTCGCTTAATTTAAAATAAGTAGTTCTGATGATGCATTTTAAAAACATTATTGTCGGCTCCCTTTTAAAAGGTATGACCGGAACAATGAAGACATCGTAAATGTTTATATTCGTCTGTTTTATTCCCAGCATCCCTTAAAGTGCGTGAAGGAACTTCGTTCGTTTCTGGGGCTTAACATCACAGACGCATTCTGCGAGGCTGTGGTCGAGGCCTGTTCTTTTGATAAGTTGAGGATGAAAGAAAGAACGGGCATGAAAGATGGTGCTGTCGTGAACATCTGGAAGGAAGGTTCTGGAGGGACATTCTATAGAAAAGGTATGAATGACGTGAACATATTGTCCTATTTTGAAGCCAGTAAGGCGCCAAGGGCAGCGAAATATGAACACAGAAGCTTAGGCTCCTCCTTAGATGTAGTAAAGTGTGGGAAGGGCCACACACCACTAAACATTCTATTGATTAGCAAGAGCTATGTACAAACTGCCTGGCACACGAAGGGATGTGCTTGAACACAGGCTTTGCATTCAAACGCGAACGTTATCAAACCTCACTAAAGATGAAACTTGAGTGATCGTTGACACACTTCAAACGTATATTCTCGTTGTGGACACTCGTCATATATTTACGTGTACAAAATGTCTTGATGTTTATGGAAAGTTACCAAATGGTAAAAACAGAGCAAAAGTGTAAATCAATATTCACTAATTCCTCTTTCCAGTGGAGCCCTTATATTATGCAATGTTTGGAGGCCCTCACTATGATTTAGTTTTGATCTCTTGTGTGTCCTTACCATGTGTCTTGTCGTCAACTGGCAAAAACAACCTTCATTGAATATGATATTTTTCTGCTAACGAAAAAGGATTTCATTGTATGGTTCCTACTGAACAATAGCAGTTGTTTACTAATCACTTTCAAATAATGCTGATATCAGTGTATCCCGTCACAAAATGGGACCATGCTTCACGTCACCAACACTCTGAACTAGAGACACCAAGGACAGTAGATGGTAAGGTATTGCTCGACACAATGTGGTAGCTGAATACATAACATCAGTGCCAAAGAATACAACAGTTTTGATTACATTTGATGTAAAGGGAAAAGAGCTGTGAAATCATATGAATGGACCGTTGAAAATCCGTGATTGTGTTCACCCAAAACTATCCCTCTTGTCATATATTCTTATGTAACGGTTCAATGGGGGTAAAACGAGAAAAATATATTTTATTTCAGTAGCATGTCTGTTCTTTGGACCACTCTCACTTTTACCCTGTTAATTACAGTTTTTACCAATAAAAAGAAATTACTTGACAACATGAAGTTGAAACAATGAACAAGGATTTATTACACATAAATTTATCACAGTCAATAATGTCAAATATTATTTAAATCAGAACAAACTTCTGATTAAGTAAGTACTGTCTCAGGCAAAGCTTGGATATATTATACTTACATAATATTGTGGTGTTCTCGGTAGATACCGGTGAAAATATATATGGAAAATCTGCGACTCGCATCCACCACAATCAGTCTAGAACTGTCAACTGTCAACTGACAACTGACCAGAACTACGTCACAATCCTCATGACGTAATTTGTTTACAATCAACAAGCAAAACATATTAATATATTATTGGTGCAGAATAATAAATGTAGAGCGTCACAGGACTCATTATAATTGTGGAAATGTCTTTTGATGCTTAAAATACAGAATTTGCAAAAGAAATTTTGTCAACGAACTGTGTACACATAAACTCATGACGTCATCATCAAATATGGCCGCCTCCATGGATAACATTGCCGAAGCAATAGCTCTGACGAAACGACAGTTAAATATAAGTTCTATCAGGTAAAAAGGATATGGATTACAATGTACACAACATCGAGTAGTTTTTTAATGTTATTCAAACGGTATTACGTCTCACAATCCAAAGACTGAGGATAAATGCAATGAAACTCACTGCCTATATACCGACGGGGAAAACTCGTCGAATGGAAACACACCGGAATTAACCCGAGGCCAAATGCGAGAAAAGATAATTAGGGCTGTATATTACAATATCCCCCCTTTTACAATTAAATCGTCCCCGATTTAACACATTACTTTGTAAACCTTATTGCATGTCGAAACTTACATATATACATGTTAAGATAACCATTTTTATCTTATAGAATGATACAGTTCTTTTTATTAAGGACAATCATAATATACTTACATAGTAAGTGTTACAAGAACAATCCATAGAGAATCACACACAATATATACACAATTTCATGATAATTACATACTTACGACACATCCAAGAAAGAGTCCAAGACCAATTCAAAGAATTACAATGCATATATAGTAGTGTTCAATGTCACATCTCAGAGTTCTTTGCTTGGGCTTGCAGAGAATTAATGTACGCATCTGCCTGTCTCCTTAATGTGAGCTGCTCCATAAACCTCCTATCTTCCATAAGATGAAGAACTGACATGGCTTCCCTGCCAGCCCGGATAAACTCGTCGAGAGCTGGCCTGGATAATGGTATTTCCGACATCGTCGGCCAAGCTGGAGTTGCTTTGTGGAGGCGCCGGGTCAACTGCTCCACTTCCATCCTGAGGGGCCTGTACCTCCAGGGCCTGACGGTCATAAGCGAGCTCCCAAGATGACTCCGCTGGCATCTTCATCTCAGGCTGGGCCTGGCTGGCAACAAGTGATTGCTTTATCTCAGGCTGGGCCTGGCTGGCAACAAGTGATTGATTCATCTCAGGCTCTGCCTGGTGGTTACTCTCTGCTAGGGCAAGACGAGTGTTCCGGGACCGCTGCCGCTCCTTCTTTGGCTTGAACACCAGGTTTCCAGGGTCGATAAAGAGACCGGTTCTCGGCCACCTTGATCCTCGCCCTTCGGCAGATGACCATTGGGTTGCTGGGATTCCCCTTTCTTCCAGCGTGGGTAGCCGTGTAGTGCCTGGTGAGATCTCCAAATCTGTTATAGATCGCTTGGCACCGATCAACAGGACAAAATAATGTCGTCAGCTTCTTCAGGTGACGCATGGTCCAATGCCGATCAAATGCATGCAGGTTGGTGAACATTTGCTTGTCCGGACATGCTGGACACTCCATCCCCGGCACGAACGTCACGACCTTGATGGATGGGCTAGCTGACACTTCTGGTTGTGGATTCTCCTCCTCTCCGAGGGACATGTTCTCATCAAACAACTCCAGGACAGATGGGGAAGACCTTATAATAAGAGTAACAATTATAATTAGCAAATTGTCAACCAGAGTGAAGAAATGTATTTCTGATGTGCAAAGAATTTACAATTATTTTATTTTATTTTATTATTTTTAAATTTTTGTAGTGCAGGTACAAGAGAGTTCAATTTCAATGTTATTCCCACAATAACATATCCTACTAATCCTACTGGTAATTAAGTTGATCCGACATCTACTCTCAGTAGGATTTATAACTCAGTCATTCTAAATGTTTAGGCCCTTAGAAATACTGATGGAAAGCGTCCAACACGCCTAAATTTTAAATCCGTACAGATTGGTAAGTCCTAATGCTCTAGACTTTAGTCTACTTCATCAGTCCGTTCTCTGCATCCCTAAGTACCTATACTGATAATTTTGATATTTTTGTTTTAGTGAGATGATTTTAACTCTCATCTCTGATTGTTTCAGGAATACATGGATGATGTCTCAAAGCCTATTGCTTGGAAGTCCACCATTTAGGTGGATCACTCCCCAAATATGGTAACAACCGGTCAATATGCACAACCTTTGGTGTTTTATTAGGTCCATTCTGGATACGGTAGGTTATGTCATCAATTTGTTTGGTGACAACCCAACCCTTTGACCATTTGGGGATAAGTTTGTAACTGAGGTTAGTGGCTCTGTGGGGGTTAAACAACCACACTGGTTGCCCTACTTTGAGTCTGGACTCTTTGCTCCCCAAGTCGTAACGTCTTTTCCGCACTTCCGAAGAACGTTTGAGACTTCTTCTGGCAGTCTCAAAAAAGCTTTTGTGAACTGTTGTTTGATCTCGTCCATATATTCTTCTCTAGTAATGGGATTCTCGTTAGGATCACCAGTTACTAGGTGAAATGGCATTCGCACCTCTGAACCAAATACTAATTTATTTGGCGTGCAGCCCGTTGATTCATGCTTGGAACTTCTATAAGCTGCCATCACAAAGGGGAGATGTGTGTCCCAAGACCTTGGTCTCCCTTCTGTATATATATACTTAGCATTGCTGCTAGCGTGTGCGGTTAAAACGCTCGACCTGACCGTTAGCCTGAGGTCGGAGAGAGGTTGTTCTGGTTTTACCACACCCAGCAATTTACATAGCTCTTGGAAAAGTGTAGCTTCATATTGTCTACCCTGATCACTATGTAACATTTTGGGGTACCAAAACGGCATATCCACTCTTCCACCACTTTCTTAGCCACTGTTTTAGCCTCGATATTTGGTATTGCATAGGCCTCTGTCCATTTAGTGAAAGAATCTGTGACCACCAGAACATATTTATTTCCAGCAGTGGTTCTTTCAGGGGACCCATGATATCCGTTGTCAATCTCTCATGGGTGAGCCTGTTATATACTCCTTCATGGGTGCTTTCTGCTTTTTAGGTGTTTTCCTGGCTACACATTTGTCACAGTGTAGACAGTGGTCTCTGACATCTGCCTTCATTCCAACCCAGTAGAATGACTGTTCGAGCTTTATGAATGTCTTGGAAACACCAAGGTGACCTCCCAAAGGTGAATCATGACAGCCTTCGAGGATGAATCTTCTCTTAACAGCTGGTACAACAATCTGCCAGCGCCATTCCTTGCCATCATTACTTTCCCATCTACGATGAAGAATTCCTTGTCGCATAGACAAGCGATCAAACTGACCCCATAATGCCTTGCAAGCATTAGAGTATCCTGAAACCGTTTCCCATTTCGGACGTTTATTCTGCTCTCTAGCCTTAAACATAAGACTGATATTGGGATCTTGCATTTGCATGTCTTTTAACTCTTCCTTTCTGAAGGTTATATCATTTTGTTTTGCAGATTGGGATCTGGTGATGGCAGAACAAACAGCACTTGTCTCAGCAACACTGCATGGTCCTTCCTCTCTATGACACTGCGGACAAGGGGTACAAGGTCGACGACTTAGAGCGTCAGCATTCCAGTGAACTCGGGCCGGGTCTATGAACTTCTGTCAAGTCATAGTTACCTAACTCCTGCAACCATCGAGCCATTTGATTGACTGGCCTCTTGATGCGCTTAGCCCAAGCGACTGCAGAATTGTCAGTTCTGATGGTGACAGGCCTACCAAAGACATATGGATGCCAATGACGACAAGCTGCAACTACTGCCAACAGCTCACGGCGAGTGACACAGTAATTCTTTTCAGCTGGAGTGAAACATTTACTGTAGTAACCCAGTACCACCTCTCTCTGCCATTTTGATTCTGTGACAGGACAGCTCCAAGACCATCACCAGATGCATCACTGTCGATGGTGATTTCACCCTCTCGTGTGGGAAAACCAAGGACAGGGGCTGAGGTGAGAGCGTCTTTCAACTGTATGAAAGCTCTGTCAGTTTCCTCAGTCCATTGGAACTCAACCGACGGACTGGAAAGTTTTGTCAGTGGTCTCGCGGTTTTCGAAAAATCTTTGATGAATTTTCTATAATAGTTGGCTAGTCCCAGAAGTTGTTGGATCTGTTTTCTAGATTTGGGAGTTGGCCAGGATCTGACGGTTTCAATTTTCTCTGGCTGGGTGTGTACACCGTCAGCCGAAATGACATGACCCAGAAAGTCCACTCTCTCCTTGAAGAGATGGCACTTCTTCGGCTTTAATTTAAGGCCTGCTAAAGATAGGCGATCCAAGACTGTTTTCAGGCGGATCATTACTTGATCAAAATCACGCCCAAACACTATTATGTCATCCAGGAAACAGAGACATTCGTTCCACTGGAGACCTCTGAGAATCATCTCCATGAGCCTTTCGAACGTGGAAGGAGCGTTGCAGAGACCAAATGGCATAACATTCCATTCGAACAAGCCGAAACGTGTTGTAAAAGCTGTTTTCTCACGATCACGTGGATCCATCTCGACTTGCCAGTAGCCGGCTTGTAAATCCATGGTACTGTACATCCTTGCACCCCCCTAGGCTATCGATACAGTCATCGATACGAGGCAAAGGATATGAGTCCTTTCTAGTGCACTCGTTTAAAACACGAAAATCGCAACAGTATCTCCAACGACCATCCTTGCGCTGAACAAGAACTGTTGGGGAAGCCCAGGGACTACTGGATGGTTGTATGACACCTTGCTCCAACATTCGATTGACTTCTTTCTCCTCCGCCTCTTGCTTTAGCAAGGGTCTGACAACGAGGGGGCTTGCTTGACTGGTCTCGCATCACCCGTGTCAATGCGGTGTTTAACTAAGTTGGTACATCCAAGATCATCATCGTTCTTAGCAAAACTATCTCTATAATTGTATGGGAAATCTCGAAGCTTTTCTTGTTGGCTTGCGTCCAAATTAACCTTGCTTTGGTCAAACAAATCTGCTAAATGATCAGGTACCTTAGCATTGTTAACTCTGACACGTGAGACTCTCTTAGCCAGTTTATTTGAAACTAAGTTTACATTCTCACACTGTCCCAGGATTCTACCTTTAGCTAGGATATATTCTTTGTCTAGAACATTGATCACTTTGACTGTAGCCACTTTTACTTTGATTAGTAACTACTGAATTGCCCATAACTAACCCATGTGCACATAACATGTCTTTGCAGGGTTCTATGAGGATAGAGGACTGATCTCTCTCTGACTCTCAGGCAAGCTAACTTGGACATAGGATACAGACTGGGGTGGCAATGGGACATCATCAGCAACCATGACAGTGGTCTCTGTGCCAACCATTGGCAACCATCTGCCACGCAACTGGATCCTCGACCCAGCGATGTCGATCACACCCTCAAGTCTTTCTAACACATCTATTCCAATAATGCCATCGCACTCATGAGAGTTATCTACCTCTGCAATGATGAACTCTTCCTTACTAGGGCTTAAATCATCTCCCAGAAAGACAGATGCTTGAAAATTCCAAAAGCCTGGAACAAACTTCCATTCACAGCCTCACGCATCATGTCAATAGGATTAATAGCTATAGAGGAGGACAAGCGCTTGCTTGCAGCATGAGACAACATAGGCACTTGGCTACCAGTGTCAACAAGTAAGGTGAAATAAGTATGACCTATCCTTAAATTAACAAATTGGCCCTTATCACCTATTTTAAAGCAAGCTTGGAAATCTGCTTTAACAGCAACTGGGTCAGGTGGATTGTGTAGAGGATTATCGGGAATTGCCTCCCCTTTACTGGAAACCACACTAATCCCACTTTCCACCTGACCACTGGATTTAGCTGATTTAGGCTTTGAGGTCTCCTTTAATCTGGTACATTCTCCACTGGCATCCGACCTAATTCCGGGCCAGTGGGTAACCGTTTCCCTGACAACCATTCATCTGGGAATTCAGAGGACACTCAGAAGCCCAGTGACCTGTCTGTTTACACTGGAAACAGGCATCTTTATCTCTCCTGCTCGTACTTGGCGAGCGAGATTCACTCCGCCGACTGGAATTGTCTTTCTTCCATGGGGACTGAGACTGATTTTGTCTGTCCTTATTGCGATTGTAGTTTTGTCTTCCTCCTTCAGGTCGCTTACGGGAACGAGAAGCAAGTTTTTCCACAGTCTTCTGGAGGCTTGATAATTGGTCAGTAAGAGAATCTATTTTTTTATCCACGGAAGAACCTTCCGACTCAAACTGAACTCTCTTCCCTCGAGAAGGATGAGGACTGACAGATCTCACAGATTTCTTTGAACCCGGTTTCCAACAACAGACTCGTAAAGTTCTGCAACCTCGATAGCATCTTGAAGAGAGTGCAGACACCTCTATCAAGGAATCTAAGTCTTAAGTCTTTATCGACTGCTCTTTTAGACACCAGATTCCTTGATAGATGTCTGCACTCTTCAAATACTATCCTTATGAGCTACGAAGTCTGTGTTGAAAACCGGAATCGTCATCGAGGAAAAGCTTCGATTTAATCGAAAGATTCCGTGAGATAAAAAATGAACCCTGCTGCTGATGACCAATCAAGCCTCAGAAGAACTGCTGGTCTTCTCGTTCCCATAACGGAAAAGGAAGACAAACTGTCACAGAACAGACAAATCGTCCCCATGTATTCAACGGAAATCTCGCTCATAGCGAAGATATAACTGTTTCCAGTAATAATGGGCTGAATGAATAATCAGTTGTCAGGGAAACGGTACCACTGGCCAGAATGCGTCGGATACCGGACAAAGGGCCTCAAACTAAATCGCTTCAAATCCAGTGGTCGGAGATGGAAGTGGGATTGGTGGTTTCCGGCAGTCCCCATGATCACTACGACGGTGCTGTTAAGCTGTTCAAGCTTGCTTTAAGCATGGTGATGAACCCGGTATTGAATTGGGATGGAGTCATGCTACTTGTGACGCGGCCAGTGTTACGTCTTCGTATATCTCACTATAACGATAATCGATGATGCGACGAGCATTTGTTCAGGCTTTTCAACTCTTTCGGGGCACCCTAATGAAAGTGCATCATTACGAAGATGGGCAACTCGCGAAGTGCGATGGCATTGAACAAATGTGTTAAGAAAAGACTTTGGTGTGTTATCGCTGAGTCGAAGGATCAGTTGCGTGGCGGGTAATGGTGGCACCGCTGTCATGATTTGCTGATGATACACCCCAGTCGAGACCAGCGCTTTGCTGCAATCGAAGATACACTATGACAGAACACTAAGGCTGTTATGTGCGTGGAAGACATGAACTTATTCAGCTCCACAATGTAGTGACGATCCAAAGTCAGTAATTTACAGACAAAATATCTGGCTAAGGCCAGAGATCCTGGAGACGGTGAAGAATGTAAACAGTTTTCCAAACTGGCTGGAATATGCGTCGTCGGGAAGTTAACTGTGCTAAGACACCTCTTTAACGATTTGTTTGACCAAGCAGGCCGGACGCGAAATGAAAACTCATTTCCATATTTGTAGAGACGATGATGATATTGGTCTTGGTTAAACTGCGTGTTGGTGATACGGAACCGTCGAAGCTGTCGAACGCTAACTGGCGGAAGTCGATCCTGTTGAGCAGGTGATAATACAACCGTCAGTAGTCCTGGGCTTTCAACAGTTCTTGTTCGCTTTGGTGGAATAGATTGAAGATACTGTTGCGTTTTCGTGTTTTTAAACGGTGCGCAGAAAAGGACTCGCCAGCTCGTGTTTAATCGGTAACACAGAGGTGCGAGATGTACGGTACCGTGGTTCGTGGCGAGTGGATCCACGTGATCGTGAAAACGGCTTTTAACGTTTATTCGAATGTTGTTTTCTGGCGCTCACCGGCTGTGAATGATTCGAAGTTACTTTCAGTATTCTGTTTCCTGGTTATTCTTTCGTTTGAGCGTGATGCCTGGCTGAACCCTGTCTTCAACGGGCGACAAAGCCGAAGAAGATGCCGTGGTGGTTTCTGAGTCATGTCGTCGCTGACATTCAGCCGGAAAAACGAACCGTCGAGATCTGACAGCTTCCCCAAATCTGAAAGTGAATCAACAACGGGACTGGCCAATATTATGAAGATGCATCAACTTTCGAAACCGCGGGAACCGACAAAGTATGTTGAGGTTCGGACTGAGAAACGACGGGAAAACTTTTCATGCAGTTGGCGTTTAACCTGATGGTTTTCAAGGCCGTCGACGTGATGATAACTAGTGTCCTGTCTGGAAAATGACGAAGATGTTATGGAACACTTACGGTAAATGTTTCGCTCCACGAAGAATGCTGTGTCGCTCGCCGTGTCGACGACGTGGTTGGCTTGTCATCATTAACATCCATATACTGACCAGACTGATAACCGGTTTGTTTAATTCTGCGGTGCTGAATAGAAAGGCCGATCAAATGTCGATGTTACGGAGATAGTATGACGACGAGGATCGACCAGCCGGCCTTATTTGTCCGCGATGTCGCCAGGAAAGGAAGGAACCGTACGTGTTACTGAACGAAACGTTTCGATTGCTGCCGTCACCAGATCACAATCTGCAAGGCAAATGTTTAACCTTCGAAAGGAAGAGTTAAAGACATGCAATCTGGATA